CACAGCTGTGAGTCTTGTGTAGCCAGTACACAGCTGTGTGTCTTGTGTAGCCAGTACACAGCTGTGAGTCTTGTGTAGCCAGTACACAGCTGTGAGTCTTGTGTAGCCAGTACACAGCTGTGAGTCTTGTGTAGCCAGTACCAGCTGTGAGTCTTTTGTAGCCGTACCAGCTGTGAGTCTTGTGTAGCCAGTACACAGCTGTGAGTCTTGTGTAGCCAGTACACAGCTGTGAGTCTTGTGTAGCCAGTACACAGCTGTGAGTCTTGTGTAGCCAGTACACAGGTGTGAGTTGTGTAGCCAGTACACAGGTGTGAGTCTTGTGTAGCCAGTACACAGGTGTGAGTCTTGTGTAGCCAGTACACAGGTGTGAGTTGTGTAGCCAGTACACAGCTGTGAGTCTTGTGTAGCCAGTACACAGGTGTGAGTTGTGTAGCCAGTACACAGCTACGAGTCTTGTGTAGCCAGTACACAGCTGTGAGTCTTGTGTAGCCAGTACACAGCTGAGTCTTGTGTAGCCAGTACACAGCTGTGAGTCTTGTGTAGCCAGTACACAGCTGTGAGTGTTGTGTAGCCAGTACACAGCTGTGAGTCTTGTGTAGCCAGTACACAGGTGTGAGTTGTGTAGCCAGTACACAGGTGTGAGTCTTGTGTAGCCAGTACACAGGTGTGAGTCTTGTGTAGCCAGTACACAGGTGTGAGTTGTGTAGCCAGTACACAGCTGTGAGTCTTGTGTAGCCAGTACACAGCTGAGTCTTGTGTAGCCAGTACACAGCTGTGAGTCTTGTGTAGCCAGTACACAGCTGTGAGTCTTGTGTAGCCAGTACACAGCTGTGAGTCTTGTGTAGCCAGTACACAGGTGTGAGTTGTGTAGCCAGTACACAGGTGTGAGTCTTGTGTAGCCAGTACACAGGTGTGAGTCTTGTGTAGCCAGTACACAGGTGTGAGTTGTGTAGCCAGTACACAGCTGTGAGTCTTGTGTAGCCAGTACACAGGTGTGAGTCTTGTGTAGCCAGTACACAGGTGTGAGTTGTGTAGCCAGTACACAGCTGCGAGTCTTGTGTAGCCAGTACACAGCTGCAAGTCTTGTGTAGCCAGTACACAGCTGAGAGTCTTGTGTAGCCAGTACACAGCTGCGAGTCTTGTGTTAGCAGTACACAGCTGCGAGTTTGTGTAAGCCAGTACACAGCTGCGAGTCTTGTGTAGCCAGTACACAGCTGCGAGTCTTGTTTAGCCAGTACACAGCTGCAAGTCTTGTGTAGCCAGTACACAGCTGAGAGTCTTGTGTAGCCAGTACACAGCTGCGAGTCTTGTGTAGCCAGTACACAGCTGTGAGTCTTGTGTAGCCAGTACACAGCTGCGAGTCTTGTGTAGCCAGTACACAGCTGCGAGTCTTGTGTAGCCAGTACACAGCTGCGAGTCTTGTGTAGCCAGTACACAGCTGCGAGTCTTGTGTAGCCAGTACACGGCCTGCGAGTCTTGTGTAGCCAGTACACGGCTGCGAGTCTTGTGTAGCCAGTACACGGCTGCGAGTCTTGTGTAGCCAGTACACGGCTGCGAGTCTTGTGTAGCCAGTACACGGCTGCGAGTCTTGTGTAGCCAGTACACGGCTGCGAGTCTTGTGTAGCCAGTACACGGCTGCGAGTCTTGTGTAGCCAGTACACAGGTGTGAGTCTTGTGTAGCCAATACACAGCTGTGAGTCTTGTGTAGCCAGAACACAGCTGTGAGTCTTGTGTAGCCAGTACACAGCTGAGAGTCTTGTGTAGCCAGTACACAGCTGTGAGTCTTGTGTAGCCAGTACACAGCTGAGAGTCTTGTGTAGCCAGTACACAGCTGCGAGTCTTGTGTAGCCAGTACACAGCTGCGAGTCTTGTGTAGCCAGTACACAGCTGCGAGTCTTGTGTAGCCAGTACACAGCTGCGAGTCTTGTGTAGCCCTTACACAGCTGCAAGTCTTGTGTAGCCAGTACACAGCTGCGAGTCTTGTGTAGCCAGTACACAGCTGAGAGTCTTGTGTAGCCAGTACACAGCTGCGAGTCTTGTGTAGCCAGTACACAGCTGCGAGTCTTGTGTAGCCAGTACACAGCTGCGAGTCTTGTGTAAGCCAGTACACAGCTGCGAGTCTTGTGTAGCCAGTACACAGCTGCGAGTCTTGTGTAGCCAGTACACAGCTGCGAGTCTTGTGTAGTCAGTACACAGCTGTGAGTCTTGTGTAGCCAGTACACAGCTGTGCAACAACTATTTTCCAAATGCAGTAGTGGTGAAAAATGTCATCCCAAGTACTCAACTGTGCTCTAATCAGCAGCAGTTTGTTGCTCTCCAACCCAGACTGATGCTGCCATTTATCCCAAAATGCTCCAAAACTGAAAAATTCTCTTTAGAAAGGCAGATCCCTGCAAAAGATCGATAAATCCAGAATTACTAAACATACAGAGGACTGAAAAATACTTTTTAAAAGGTCAGCAGTAACAGCCTGGTTGATCAGGCCCTGATCCACCACGATGCCTGGTCACATTATTATTATTATTATAATCAAAAAGAAGCGCTAAGCCACAAGGACTATACAGACCTGGTCACAGACTGGGTCGTGGGGGCGTCGACCCCCCAAAACACTCACCACATATACTCCAGGTAAGGGCATATATCCCTACAAAAGATAGGTTAAGTTAAGTTTATTTAGGTACAGGTACACAAATAAAATTAGACAAATTATCATAGATAGTAACATGTGTAAATTACCAAGGATAACTTAAAGAAGTCAGACCAAGATTTATTTCTTTTGAGGTCCTTATTCAGAATTGCAGAAGGTGTGCAGAGGTTTATGCAAGTTTGTTGCCCTGAGCACTAAAATGACCAGGGATCCATCATAAGATTGTTTCTTTATGTTTGTTAAACAGACAACACAGTCAAGCAATGCTCTAAAGTGTGACAGTAATATCACCTTTTCCAAATGAATTGTAGACCATACATTGTAGAAATAAAACTCATCGTTTATCGGACTTTAATGCAAATGACGATAGGATATGATGATTCAAAACTCCAGAGAGCTTGTAATGCACTTTGAGAATCAGAGACCAAGAAAGAAATGGGAAGTCACAAGGTAGGTGGATGATAGCTGCATGCAGTAGGAAGAGTCACAACATGGATAATAACTAATACTTTTAACTGCCATGCAAGTACACATTATATCCAGCAAACATCCTATACTATACTGTTCAGAAAAACTGCTGTGTATCCTACATCATCAGAGGATTTGGGAACTCAAAAAAATAATAATCAGTATTTAGAGGGGTGTTAATGTTGTTTTATAACTGTAGTGTAAGCATGCCTCTGGCATGATGATGATGAAAGTTTTTCTTTTTCGGGCCACCCTGACTCAGTGGGAAACAGTCGATGTGTTAATAAAAAAAATTTTAGAACCATTCTCCATGGGGAAGTAGAGAAGAATTCTTCCTCCATAAACCATGCGTGTCGTAAGAGGCAACTAAAATGCCGGGAGCAAGGAGCTAGTAACCCGTTCTCCTGTACACATTACTAAAGTTAAAAAGAGAAACTTGTTTTTCCTTTTTGGGCCACCCTGCTTTGGTGGAATACAGCTGGTTTGTTGAAAGAAAGATTTAGAATCGTCAGTGAACAGAAGTAGCATGCTAGTGTACTTGAAAATGCTTCAGGAAAAGGGGGTGCTTGTCCAACAGTTGATACTACAGTTAAGAAGAAGGAAGGAGAGACACTCGACACATAGTTACCTCCTAAACAAGAATGGAAAAGAAATGAGTGCAAAAAAGGGAGGCAAATTGATGGAATCAACTGGTCTGAAAGCAGAGATAAAAGAGATGTAATAAATGAAGATTGAGCATCAACTTTGCTAACATCTGTCATTATGCTCTGGGTTGCAGGGCCATGAAGAGCATAAACAATAACAAAATAACATATACAGTATTTGAAAGATCTTATAATGAAGGAGTATTAGACTTGCCTAGCATGTTTCAGTAGACCTACTGAAGTTTTCTCTTTTTATATTCTTGCAGGCTTTTGAATGGGAACCAACAAAAGGCACTGAGACATAGGCACAATCCTTCATGGTGACTAAGATAAAGCTCTGAAATAAAAGCTATTGAAGCAAATGCATACACCTGATCCCTGTAATCAGGTTTTGATATTATTATTAGTCAAAACTAGTGCTAAACCCACCAGGTTAATACAGTGCTGTTAAAGTTTTAATAGATTATTCTTATAATAAAAAAGAAGCGCTAAACCACAAGGGCTATATATACAGCGCTGCAGGGCAGGAAGGAAGTGAGGGTATCAGGTGGCAAAAGGGAGATGGATGAGTAATAGGTTACGGAGAACAGCAGGGCAGTGGATGGTGAAAGGGTAGAGGGCAGCAAGAGATTGAGGTAGAAAGGGCTGAGGGGAGTGCGAAAGGTATCATCATCAGAGTTTGTGGAGTAAATCAGTTGTTGTCAAGAAGTCAATGAGAGAGTCAGGATTAAAGGAGGGTCCATCAGCAAGAAGAGAAGGTAAAGAGAGAGTAGTAGAACGGAGACGACGTTGGAGGTAAATTGTGTGCTCATTGATAGAGAGGGCAGCCTAACAGAATGTGGCTAATCGATACTGGAACTTGACACTGCTCACAGAGAGGAACAGGGTGCCTCTCCATAAGATACCCATGAGTAAGACGAGTGTGGCCAATGCGAAGGCAGGAGAGAGTAGTCTCCCAACCTCGGCACTGATGACAAAACGACCAGTAACCTAATAGAACCAAGGCTGAATGAAAAGTAATTTTTTTATTACAATCAGTCACAGGAAGCGCTAAATCCACTGGGGTCATGAATCGCCAGGGAAATGGGAGGTGATCAAGCACAATCTGAACATCAATAGCCCTTCACTAATGTAGAATATACAATAAAAAATAATTGGATATAAAAACTAATAAAATAAGACATTCCTTCTGTATTCATTAAAGAACACAAAACATATGGTTAAATAAAACAGATTTCAAATATGTAACATATTTAATAAAGAAAAATATTTATAAATTGTCAACCTGATCATCGGAAGCACCAGAAGCATTCATGATGGACTCGTGTTGGGCTGTGTCATCTTCATCATCGTCCTCATCGTCTTCATCTACTTCCATTTCAAACAACCTAACGCGCCTTCTGTTCTCTGACAAGAGGAGTGCAACTTTACGAGATCCAGAGACCGCCAATGAAGAGAGTGGGCCACCCTCGAGTCGCCTGTACCCACTAGCATCCACCAGTGAGCATGCATCTCGGGTAGTCACACCAGCCTCTGCCAGGCGCCGTCCTCCATATACAGCCAAGGGCCTTAACTCTCCACATGCTGCTTGCATCCATAACTGAATGAAGAATGAAGCTTTAGAATCAGATGGGTCTTGTGCCAACACAGATAGTGTATCTTCAGAATAGAACTGTGCCCCAATTAACTGCAATAAAGGGGATGGTGGGCCAATTTGCTCTAATGAACACCCTCGTGTTCCCTCTAGTCTTGAAAATACAAATGGAGCTGCCTCCACGTGATGAGCTGGACCTGGCGGTGCACTGGCCTGTGCAAGACGTTCAGCACTTGTTGGCCACCGTGCTAGATAGAGAACAGACTGCTTAAGGCCAGGAAGAAGCACAGTATACATGGCATTGTCACGAGGGCAGCTTATCTGGCTCACACTTACTGGCCCACTTGATGCTATGGCCATAAATGGGACCCAAGCAACAATGTTTACAGCCTCACTTATAACCTTTGCTGGTTGTCCAGCCATATTATCCAAAACAGACTCAAGGTTTTTGTGCTCTTGCAAAAGAGAACGCTCAGGATAGTGTGGAAAGATGAGAGAATGCTCAGCAACTGCAGGATGTTCGGCAAGAAATATAGACCAGGGATTACGGTCTGATTCGGGTGGACAAGAGAGCGGTGCATCTTTCAGGAACTGGCCAACGCGCTCCAAGCGGAATCGTGTGCGTTTCTCACCATCAGGACCTGTTTCTGTTTCTTCAAGGCCATCATGTAAAAACTCTGTTATATAGGTAAGATCTTGCTGGGTCATGCGGCTCATCTCATCTGGTACAGCCTCACCCCGAACACGCTGCACAACTACATACAGCCAACGAAGAAAGGCTTTAAAAGTGCTCATTGCACCATCTATCACTTGTTGGAGCTCCACAGCTTTAAGTACAAATGCTCCAGCTTCCCTGACAGCATTTGTAACCACATCTCCTCAACACCCAACATTCCAAATCGATCATGATGTCTCGCTAGACCAACTAGAGCACTTAGCTGGTACACAAGTGCTTGTCCTACTGCTTGCACATTGCGCAGAACCAACTTCTGAATGTTAGAAATAACTAAGTTCTATTGAATGACCCAATTTCTTTAAACCTTTTTCAGTGAGTTGATTTGAGAGAAACATGTCAAATTCTGATGAAGATAAACCAAATACTAAAAGATCCAGAAAGTCAGCAGATACACCACCTTCAGGAACAGTTCTAGCATATGTGGCTAACTTCAGATCCAATTCAAGTAAAATGCTTTCCCAAGCTTCAGCTAAAAGTGTGAGTGTGTGAGAGGCATAGGTCATGAGTCCACAAATCTGACCATAGCGATAAGCAAGAGCACGGAGCTCTTGATGACGGCAAGCCAGAATCAAGGTTTCTATCGTTACATGCACAACCTCCCTTTCTCCTCCGAGATCTCGTTCCACCAAACAACTAAGCAGATGGAGATCATGGGAGGGTGTAGCATCTAGAACCTGTCCTGCCCTTGGCACAGAGTCTGCCAGATTGACTGTAGCACAATGAAAGAGCCCAAAGGCATAGATGTAGACAGATGCTGCAGATGTAGCAACAGTTAGAAGGGTTAATGATGTTGATCCCGTAGTAGACAACCTTCGTGCCACCCTTCCTCACGATCCTCACCACTGCTTCCTGTGTATGTCTTGGAGAGGGAAGGAAGTGGTGGCAGAAACATCTCTGATGAGTCCTGAAAAGCACACAAAAAAGGTATCACTGTCCATAAAACTAATAAATGGATAATTTCACTATCTGTGTAATGTGATCACTGAACTACATGTTATTTTCACTGGTAGACTAAGAAGACAAGGGCTACTAGCATCTATGGCACTTCCATATGTATAAAGGATCTCAAATTTAGAACATGTAAAGTCTATGGAAAAATACAGTAATATATCTTAGGTTACCCAAAAGTTCAACCCTTTAACCCTTTCAGAGTCCGTGCCGTAGATCTATAGCTGTACATTGAGGGTCCAAACCATAGATCTACGTCATGAGCTCAGCTCACTCTGATAACCTGAGAGCGGTAAATTTTGGCCTAGATATGAGAGAATACATCTATGTGGTATGTGTGCACCACATAAAACAAATCCTGCAGCACACAGTGCATAATGAGAGAAAAAAACTGAGACCGTAATTTTCGATTAAAACAGCAACTTTGCAGTGTTTTTTCATATTTTTTTTATAGCTGTTTTTGCGATTTCTTGGTCTCATTTGATAGAATGGAAGATATATTACAGAAATAGAGATGATTTTGATTGGTTTAAGTAATGGAAATGGCTTGAAACTGAGCTCAAAGTAGCAGAAATGTTAAATTTTTGCCAATATTCAAGAGTAAACAAATGACCTTACATATCTAATACACGCCGCTGTGGGTCTAATCTGTTCACAAATGTGGTGATATTATTTATACAATTATTACAATATTGCATAACAGTAAATCTTCTATTTTTTGGTTTGAATAAAAATTCATTGTGAATAAAAAATCAAAATGGAATTCATTAGTAAAGCCTGAAAACATAACTAATGAACATAAGAAATGTTAGTTTAGCGCCAGGAATGCCTGTATTGTTTATTCTGGACCCTAATTTGAAATTGGAGTATTTTGAACTTTGCATTAAATTGGCCAAATTACCAATTTCCGATCACTTTATTTTGTAGTTGAAATAGTTGACTTGGCGAATTCTTGTGCTCAATCGATAGAATAGAAGTAATACTAGTGAAACAGCTAAGAATTTTGTCGACTGGAATAATGTAATTGGCCTAAAATGGGAGTCAAAGTCGGCAAAATCGCCGATGCGTAAATATCGCTGACACATCAAATTCGCAAGCATAATTTCGTCAATTTTTCATCAAATTTCGTACTTTTTGTTTTATTACCTTCAGAAAAAGATTCTCTACTATTTCATAAGAAAAAATAACAAAATTAATTTTTGAAAATTCTTGGACACTGGTGCACACTTTGAATTTGGCCTCTGGACCTGAAAAGGTTAAAAGTAGTTAAAAAAAAAAAAATACAAGAAAGATAAACCCTCAACATAATGGACTTTTGAAATAACGGATAAAATCTATTGGGTAAATTATTCTTTTCACTCCTTATTGTCAATGTTTATTACAATATACCTGTAACTTGTGTGTCCACAATATAAAGTAAACACTAAAATACTACTTAAATGCTTTTTTTTCTGCTATTTTTTCTAGTTTAACAGATGCTCAGCCTGCTCTTCCCTCATTAGTGTATTATACCAAGAATGTACTGTAACATTACTGCAATGGTATCAGAAATCTTGAGACTCTTTCCACATTTTGCATTACTTACATAAACTAACTACTGTACGACTATAATCTATGAAATTACTGTATTTAATTCTATAATATCCAAAGGTGGGAGACGGCCGACTTGTTGAAAAAAAAAAAATAATAAACATTGCAGTTCTGAGGGCCATCCAAGTTATGTCGTCGGTACACTGGTGGCAAAATGGCAGCTGAATGAATGACAGTGGATGTTTTCTCTCTTTCTTTTTTTTTTTTTTTTGGTCACCCTACCTCAATGAGATATAGCCAGTGTGTTTACAAAAACAGCTATTTACCCACCGGGCTTAATAAAAACCAATGCAAATATGTAATAGTTTTGTACTACTGCTCACAGGGTGAGCATAAGGTACAATACATATTAACCTAGCAGATGTATGTGGCAATAATTAAATTTCTTTTTTTTTTTTTTCAACATTTTAAGACGATCTCAAAATTTCAGTGCCATCTAAAATAGTATTATAAAAATGTGGCATCATTTGTAGTGAATAATTTAACACATAAGTTTGCACTTGCCAGCAGAGGCCAATTTGAATGAAAATTACCTGGGCCTCAAGACAGTCACCTAACCATCATTATAAAAAATATACAGTACCAGTAATTTTCTCCTTTTAGGTACTTTTATTATTAGTGAGAGAATGTTGACCTTAAACGTTAATATGTACAGTAGACCCCGGGTTTTTGTAATTAATCCATTCCAGAAGGTTGGCCTAAATCCAAAATGGCCGAAAACCGAAGTAATATTTCCCATAAGAAATAATGTAAATCCAATTAATTCGTTTCAGACACCCAAAAATATTAACAAAAAATACATTTTATAGAGAATAATTATAGTTTTACATACAGAAAACAATGAGAAATAAACATAAATGACTAATTTTAATGATAAATGAACATTATATATCTTCAATGAAGACTCTTGTTGGTCAGTATTATTTATTTGTAGTTCCAGATGGACTACATCCCATGCGTATACCTACCGGCTACATACACTGCGGTCTACAGCTATATTACCAATAGCATACCACGTTCACCGAGTTAAGTCGTTTCTAGCAACTACCTTTAGATACCATCATAAACAAAGGGAGAAGTAATGAATAATTCATGCCGAGAATTGTAAACGAAAGCCTTATATGCTATTAAGGGCTGTTACTGGCCAACACAGATTCATACGTGTTTTCTCTGGAACTGAACCAGAGAAAACGTAATGTCACCCCTCCACCCAACGCCACCCCTCTATATTAACCTAAAATAAGACATTTAATGTGCCCAAGAGTAACATGTTTCTTACATAATTTTGAAGGAAATATCATATTTGGGTTAATGAAAATGTCTATATTAACGTAAAACAAGACATTTGATGTGCCCAAGAGCGAGCCATGAACGTATGAGCAGCCTAGGTGGATGAGTCTGGTACTGTTAATTTCTGAGCTGATGTACAAAACCCGGGGACAAAATTTGCCGAAAAAAGTGCTTGAAATCCGAATTGTATGATTTCCACACCGGTCAAAAACCAGGGGTCCATTGTATATAAATTAGTTTCCCCCTGTACCGAAATTGAATCAGTGAATTGTTTGAATTCTAAAATACATTTTATCTTTTACAACCTTTCTCTTATCAAAACTCATGTAACCCTAATCTCAAAACTCCTGGAACTAATCTCAAAGCTCTTGTAACACTAATCAAAATCTAGTGGTAAGGATCGATGCCTCCCATCCTAGTGTGTTGTATCAGTATACTGTAGCACAAACCTCAAATAAAGTTTCCTTCTTGGGGGCCTCGTCTAGGACATGCATAGCCCAGTTGAGGGCTGTAACCTCGGCATTTACATTCAGCTTGTGAACTGGGTTGCTGTCTTCTATGTCCACTAGAACCACTTCACCTGTTTAGATCAACATACACTGCATTAAAAACATTTAAACTGCATAAAACATTTAACTGTAATTATACGTCAGCACGGAACAACACCTTCCACACACCATATACTACTTCACTACATTACTATACAACACTTCATTACTGCTGAAAATACTCTAACACCAGAAAATGATTAGCATTTTTTTTAACTCGATGGCAATCTTCCACCAAGGCAATCCCCAGTAAGGGTGGAAATGTTGGGTATGTTCCCTTACACCTGCTGCCCCTGCTTACCTAGCAGCAAGTAGGTACCTGGGTGTTAGCTAACTGGTGTGGGTCACGTCTTGAGGGGGGTAGAGGGTATTATACCTCAGATAGGGCTGGGCTTTGAAATGAGCTGAGGTGGAAGTACAGCTCTTAATCTGTAAAATTTACTTGTGAAAAAAAACAAAATGGCAGGGTAATGTAAAGAAGAAGAAAACACTTTTACCATCATTCATTAAATCACCATCTTTTCCAAGGGAATAGTGGGCAAGAATTCTTTCCCTGTAAGCCACGAGTGCCATGAAAATAGACTAAAATACCAGGGGTAAGACACTAGTAACCCCTTCTTCTGTATTCAATTATTATAGTCAGAAAAGACTATAACCTGTATAGGTCACTGAGCACACTAGCACCAGAGAGGCATCTGTGATGCTTACTGTTTTAGGACCACTTTTCATGGGTTCAAACCCCTACCTGTTCTGTGGTTTATTTGACACACACTGCCTAGCGTGAGCTAATGTATTCAACTACAACAATACGTTCAAAAATAATGAACATTCATGAGGACCTTGTTTATACAGCAGGTTAGGTGAAACATAATGTTTTTTCACTTTCAAATTAATAAAAAGCCTGATAACATTTTTACACTATCATATATTAAGTGAGCAAACAAGGTAGGCCTAAAATATGCATATACAGTACGCACATTAACTAAAATATTTTTATCCTTAGCTTATAGTGAGTGGTGAATATATTTATTGTAGGAAGTCAGAATAAGTGAAGAGTGAGTATAATTGAAAATGCTGCATTAGTAAAATGTTGTAAAGCGGGGCTCTCCTGTAATGCCATTTGAAATAAAGAAGGGGTTTGGGATATTTGCTGTTTAGAGGAACATTTAAACTGTTGTATCTGTGTGCCTCTGGCAAGACAGTGATAATGTGAATGATGGTAAATGTATTTCTTTTTTTGGGTTACCCTGCCTCGGTGGGAGACGGCCAGCATGTTGAAAAAAAAAAATTAAGAAACTGAAGTATATAAAATAAAAAGAAATTTATGTACCTGCATCGCATTATAAAAATTTGAGGTTACATGTTCACAAGTGGTTTTTGGTACCTGACATGCTGTTGGAGTGTGAGCAAGGTAACATTTATAAAAGGGTTCATGGAAACAACACTTACAGTGCCTGCATGCTGAGAGATGGCTTGCTAAAAGACTGAGATGACAGCACAAGTGAATATTATATGTAATACGCATATAATATTATTCTTCCTCTTTCAACAAACTGGCCGTATCCCACCGAGGCAGGGTGGCCCAAAAAGAAAAAACAAAAGTTTCTCGTTTTTTTAATTTTAGTAATGTATACAGAAGGGGTTACTAGCCCCTTGCTCCCAGCATTTTAGTCGCCTCTTACAACACACATGGCTTATGGAGGTAGAATTCTATTCCACTTCCCCATGGAGATAAGACGGAATAAGCAAGAGCAAGAACTAGTAAGAAAATAGAAGATAACCCAGAGGGGTATGTAGTATATATATAGTATATGCTTGTACATGCATGTGTAGTGTAACCTAAGTGTAAGCAGAAGTAGCAAGAAGTACAGTGGTCCCTCGATAATAGCCAGGCTCAATAGGCGTCCTTTTTGGAAATCGTCACGTTATTTTAGTCCAAACATTGGCTCGCAAATGGTCGGTTGACTCGCTAATCGTCATTCGTCCTGGACGCGTACTCACGGCTCTGAGCCGCCTCGGCCTCCCTTCCCAGCCAGTGTGCCATTATTTACCAGTGAGCGACGGTCCCCTCATGTGTTCATACGAAAATATTTCATAATATTCCATTCATTTTAGTGCTTGCAAGTGCTAAATAAGCTACCATGGCTCCAAAGAAAGCTCCTAGTGCCAAGCCTTTGGTAAAGAAGGTGAGAAATATGATTGAATTTAAGAAAAACATCATTGAACAATATGAAAGTGGCATACGTGTGGCCGAACTGGCCAGGATGTATAACAAATCCCATACAAACCATATCTTCCATCGTGGCCAAGAAAAAGAAAATTAAGGAAGCTGTTGCTGCAAAGGGGGTAAATATGCTGACAAAAATGAAATCACCAGTACTCAAAGAGGTTGAGAAGTTATTACTGGTGTGGATAAACGAGAAACAATTAGCAGGAGATAGTCTTATGACGTCGATTATTTGTGAAAAGGCTAGGCAGTTGCATGACGATCTGGTAAAGAAACTGCCTGCAACGAGTACTGATATTTGTGAAATTTAAGGCCAGCAAAGGTTGGTTTGAGAGATTTAAGAACCGTAGTGACATACACAGTGTGATAAGGCATGGTGAGGCTGCCAGTTCGGAAAAAAATTGCAGCTACAAAATTCGTAAGTGAATTCAAGGAGTATATAGAGGCTAAAGAACTGAAACCTGAACAAGTGTACAATTGTGACGAAACAGGCCTCTTTTGGAAGTAAATGCCAAAGAGGACCTATATTACTCAGGAGGAAAAGGGACTGCCAGGACACAAGCCTATGAAAGACAGGCTGATGCTCATGTTCTGTGCTAATGCTAGTGGGGATTTCAAAGTGAAGCCATTACTAGTGTACCATTCTGAAAATCCCAGAGTGTTCAAAAAAAACAATGTTATGGGTCACGAGGGAAATTTTTGTCGAGTGGTTCAATGAAGTGTTTGGCCCTAGTGTGAAGAATTACCTCCTGGAAAAGAAACTGGATCTCAAGTGCCTCCTAGTAATGGACAATGTACCTGCTCATCCTCCAAACTTGGATGACCTAATTCTGCAGGAGTTTGGGTTCATCACAGTAAAGTTCTTGCCCCCGAATACCACTCCTCTCCTCCAGCCCATGGACCAGCAGGTCATTTCAAACTTTAAAATACTCTACACGAAAGCAATGTTTCAAAGGTGCTTTAATGTGACCTCAGACACTCACTTGACCCTAAGAGAGTTTTGGAAAGAACACTTCAGTATCCTCCACTGCATAAGCCTTATAGGTAAGGCTTGGGAGGGAGGGACTACCAGGACTTTGAACTCTGCTTGGAGAAAATTGTGGCCAGATTGTGTCCACAAGAGGGATGTTGAAGGGTTTGTGGCTGACCCCGATGAGTCTATGTCAGTTGTGAATTCTATTGTGGCATTGGGGAGTTCCATGGGGTTGGATGTGAGTTTGGAGGATGTGGAAGAGTTGGTGGAGGATCACAACAAAGAGCTAACCACTGAGGAGCTGCAAGAGCTTCAGCAGGAACAGCAACAGATCGCAGCTCAGAATCTTGCTGCAGAGGAGGAGGAAGAGAGATGGAAGAAGGTGCCTTCTTCAGAAATTAAGGAGATTTTTGAAATGTGGGGTAGGATGGAAAGATTTATGGAGAAACATCACCCTGAGAAGGATGTTGCAAGCCATATCGGCAACTTGTACAGTGACAGAGTCTTGACCCATTTTAGGGAAGTTTTAAAGAGATGCTAGAAACAGAGCTCTCTGGACACTTTTTTTGCGAGACAGGACTCCAGTGACTCTCAAGCTGGTCCTAGTGGCATTAATAAACAGAGAAGAGAAGTAACCCCAGAAAAGGACTTGGTACCTAAGGTGTTGATGGAAAGGGATTCCCCTTCCAAACTGCAAATAATTCAGTCTGTCTCCTCCTCCAGTCTTCCATACACTAAGAAGAATCGCCAATAAAGGTAAGTGTTATGCTGGTAATGTTTCATTCATCATGTCCCATTGTATTGTTTATGTACTACATCTATATTTCATGTAAAAAAAATTTTTGGTTTTAATACTTCTGGGTGTCAGGAACGGATTAATTGTATTTACATTATTTCTTATGGGGAAAATTGATTCGAAAATCGTCTATTTCAATAATCGTCGCACTTCCAGGAACAGATTAATGACGATAAACGAGGGACCACTGTACCTGAAATCTTGCGTGTAAAACAATTACAGGCTTTTGTTTTAAACTCACTTGGCAGGACGGTAGAACCTCCCTGGGCAGTTGCTGTCTACCAACCTACTACCTAGAATGCATATAATATTTGCTTGTGCTGTTATATGCACAAGTGATGGTAGTACCCAGGAAGGCACTACTGTCCTGCCAAGTGAATGTGAAACAGAAACCTGTAGTTGTTTTACATGATGGTAGGATTGCTGGTGTCCTTTCTTCTGTCTCATAAACACACTGGATAACAGGTATTTCTTGCTACCTTCTACTTGCACCCCTAGACCGCAGCGTGTGAGCAAAGTGCACTAGTTATCAAGCTACAGGACACCTTATCAAGTACATTCTTCCTATCGCAAGAAAACAACTCACAGTTCACACTTGTCTTTTATCAAAATCTTGGTGAGTAAGCATCATATATGCCTCACAAAGGTGTGTGCTACTGTCTAGAAAATTAATAAAAATAATATATGTACTCTACACTACTATTTACTATACAGAACTATTTATTATCATCAAAAGCTGCTACATCTCTTGTTACTACAGTAATTAATTATAAACTATCTAATGAACATGAAAGTTTTCCTTTGTTTTCTAAGTGTGTCGGGTAACTAAGGTATCACATTTTACAATGTGTCCATGCACTCTGGAGGGATGGGGATGTTGCAGTAGGTGGGTAATCTGTGTTGTGATGTCAGCATACAGGCATACCTCATTAATACGGCACTCACTTTTGAGTGCTTTGCTAATATGGCGCTTTTCAGTTATATTCTTGTTACTATTTTTGGCACTTGCCTTGCTCTTAAGATGGTTTTTGGCAATTTTCAGAAAAAATTTAGTTATTATTTTTATTTTTACATAGTTTTTTTAGGCCTTATGGTATTGCACTATTAATAATTTATAGTGCAAATATGTTTTTTAGGCTTTTATGTACACCAGCAAGTAAAAAAAAAAAAGGCTGTGATTCACTTTAAGACGATATTCACTTTACAGCAGTGATCTGGAACCTAGCCAGACATATTTATGAAGTATGCATGTACCTTTGACAAAGCAGTGAATGAATGAATGATGGTTAATGTGTTTTCATCTATGGGCCACCCTGGCTTGGTCGGAGATGGCCAATGAGGTAAAAAAAAGAAAAAGAAGAGATTATTTATAGGAGGACTGGTAAGTCAGCAAGTCTTTGCTAATTATTATGAACTTAAGAGAGTGGATCATCATATGACTAAACCTAGCAACAAGTTAAATCTTCACATTTCTTCTGGCAAACAAAATACTGCCACCATACAACTAAGCTCTTCTCAGAAACAGTCATATTATGGCCACAATCTACCTTCAGAGACAATACCAACCTGTGGAATATCCTACTGCAAGGACCTTGCTGTCAGGTCGCCACGCTAGTCCGGTAACTTTCACGTTTTCTCCCGGAGAGTTAATCACCCACACACGTTGCCAAGACAATCGATGCATTGCAACTTGTCCTGGAAAGGTTAAGTGTGATTAAAACTTAGATATAAAGATACAGTGTGGACAACTAAATATTTCTTGTGTATAAGGCGCACAAGAGCAAAAAAGCACAAAACCGTTTAGGCTCTAAACTGTACACAATAGTCTGAACAAAAATGTACATTAATAAGAAACAATAGTTGTGAAAGTATTTAATTAACAACGACAATAATAAGAAAATTTTGCTAAACCACTGTAGAGTTAATCTTGCAATGAAACTTAAGAAACATTAATAAATACTGTAGTAAACACAATGGTACCCAATGGTGTTTTCTCTGAACTGAGCATGCATGCTGGAGTTTTGTCATTTTATATTATTAATTATGACTACTTACAGCCTCTCCTTACATTAACAATGGGTTCCGTTCCTAAGAGTAGGTCAGTAAGCGAATTTGTCATTAAGCAAGGAGCATACTGTACTGGTACCAGGTTTGTGTCAACCATCTCAGATATTTTTTTAATGTCACCTTTGCACCATTTATAACATTTTTACTATATATTTAAAAGTTTATACAGTAGTGTACTGTATACTGTAATAAACAGAATAGAGGAAATAAACTCTAATATACATTACTTAGGTTGGCATACTGGTTGGAGAACTGGTCGTAAGTCCGAGCGGTCGGTAAACAAGTACATCGCTAAGTGAAGAGAGGCTGTACTATATAACCTTCATAATAATAATATAAAAGGGAGGCAAGGGGCTAGTGACCCCCTTCTCCTGTATAAATTACTAAATGTAAAAAAAAATTCTGTTTTTCTTTGTAGATCACCCTGCCTTGGTGGGAGACGGCCAGTGCATTAAAAAACAAATGTATAAAAGCCGTGTAATAATATTTAAGCATTATATTAATATGTTGCTAAGAACATAGTATTAAATGTTGGGATATGTGGTGTAACCACGGAGGAATTGGAGTACAACCTGACATGGTTGGATAGTCACATTTACAGCTCTCATCAAGAAAGGTGGGGGTTCAATACTAATATTTTTCAGAATTACCTTGAACATTGGCAACAGCAACTAAATCCATCTTTGGAGACCAAACACATCTTGTGATTTCAGTCGCAACATGTCGCTCCTCGACCTGTTTCATAATACACGTTGCAGCCATTTGTTCATGAAAGTTCACAATCTTCTTCAGACAACTAAATCAGTGAAAAGGCTAAAGCCTTAATTGTCAACTCAAGTCTTATTTAAGTATCAAGACTTCTTTGACTCCCAAAGTAATTCTTCAAACTTCATGTCTGATCTGTAAATATGAAAACTCTATTATATATATATATACAAATAAGGTGTAGATTATTATGGTGTTCATGTCATGGGAATGCACTAAACCCATAAGGGCCAAACCAGCACCTTTGAATTGAGAGGTCAGAGTCACGTTTGATCCAAGGAAGGAGGTAGAAGCTCCAATTCATCACATCAGGGAATTATAGTACAGTATCTAGAATAAACTCACAATTGGAGAACATATATAATATTTCATAAACTTTTTATCAAGTTTTTTACATCTATTTTATGCTATGCTTAAGCGTAACAAACTACAGCAACTATTTTTAAGTTATAAAAAACATAGTTTAACAACAGATTCTTAAAGATTTAGACTAAAACAAGAGTTCATGACTTAAAATGATCCTAAACCTAACAAGCAACTCAAAAAAGAAAGATTAAAAAAATCATAAACCGTGGCTGGAGCAATTCACCAAACACCCGCACTTGGCAGAGGAACCCAATGATGACTTTTCTGTCCATTCTGGACCCCTATCATGTCACAACTGATGTCTGCACAAGGATCCAGGATGGACCAAAATGTCATCACATGGATCTTCTAAGCACAGGTTTTTGGTGCAGAAACAACCCACACTTTGAAGAGGAAAGACTAGATAACACTACCGTCTCTCCTGGATGAAGAATAAACAAGCACAATACAGTGACCGGAACAATACACAAATAATCCTCACATAGGATAATGAAACTTATGATGATGTGTGACCAGGTAATGGCTCAGATCAGACCAAAATATCATCGTAACTTTTCTACGTGCAGGTTATTTGTGTATTCCTCCTGGATAATTTCATACAGTCCAAGATGGACTGAAATGTCGTCTATGGATTCCTCGCCAAAATGTGGGTTAAGTGTTTACAACCATGATACTGTGATTTTTACTCTTCTTTATCCCAAACCTTATTCAGCCTTAGACCCTGCTATAAATTAGACAAGGTTAGGTATCAACTCAAAGACACTTTTTGAATACCATAGTATATTGTTGCAAAAAATTCTATATTTTTCCAGCACCTATACATACTCTTAAATTTATACCAAAAATAAATACAAATATAATTGTATCCAATAAGAGTGAAAAAAAAACACACCCTGTGGAACGAGCTTTGCATAGAGCTTCATCAAGTCATGATTTTGCAAAGCTCTACACAGAGAAAACATTACCAATAAAAACTTTTTTGCAACATTTTATTTCTTCAAAAATATAATTGCAGCCTAGAACCACTATCTCTGCTAGAATCTTCATAAACTTCTAAATTACAATATTAGTAGAGAGGACTGGGGCAGGTAGCCAGTAATGGCAACTGTGGATAGTGAGGAGATTATTTTTGCCATAATGTAACAAACAATTCTGTAACCTAAGTACAGTGGACCCCTGGTTAACGATATTTTTTCATTCCAGAAGTATGTTCAGGTGCCAGTGCTGACCGAATTTCTTCCCATAAGGAATATTGTGAAGTAGATTAGTCCATTTCAGACCCCCAAACATACACGTACAAATGCACTTACATAAATACACTTACATAATTGGTCACATTGGGAGGTGATCGTTAAGGGGGGTCCACTGTATTTATCCATTGTGTCTGGATCAAATGAGCCAGTAGATTTTGTCCCGTATTTCTGTAGTCTGTTAAACCGAGGTCCATTGCACTGAGGGTTTACTGTATATTATTATTTTTATTATTGTAAGTAGTAGCATCACTAGATAAGTGCTAGTGGGGGATTATCGTTAGAGCAAAAAATAGCAGTTTCTCCACCTAAAGCATCATTCTGTATAAAAAATAGCTTTAATGAACTAAAAGAAATGTGCCATTCTTATTTTCAAATTATTTTAGTTTAGTTTTGTTATGCATCATAGTATTTTGACTCATAACAAACATGAAGCTTTTAAATAGAAAAACATATAATGTATATTGCATATACAGTATATATGTACAGTATATACATCACCCTGGGAGCCTATAATCTGACACTGGTAAGTGCTAAACCCATAGGGATCATACAGTGCTGAGGAAGTGGAAGGTAATCAGGTTTGATCCAAGGGGAGGTTTGAAGAAGACTATATTCAGAATAATAACCTCAGAGAGTAGATGACTGAATTCATAACGTGGTAGCACACTCGGCTTGCAACTGAAATGACCTAGATCAAACCCTGGAAGGGAAGAGATGCATAATAATAATAATAATATTTTTATTTACTACAAGTACAGAGATGCATAATAATAATAATAATATTTTTATTTACTACAAGTACATACATGTACAAGGAATACAGCCCTAGCTGACATCAATGACATACTCCTATATAGAAAGCCACTTGTTATGCTGAGCATTTCGGGCAAATTAGGTCAGTTTTGTCCCAGGATTGACCCACACCAGTCGTTTAACACCCATTTACACATTTTATACTGATGGGTGAACATGGACAGCAGGTGTCTTATGGAAACACGTCCCTAATGTTTTCCAGCCATACTGGGGGAGATTCGAACTCCGGACCTAGGTGTGTGAGCTGAGTGCGCTAGCGATCGAGCTATGGAACCATAGACAAGTCTCCTAAAGCCTACTGCCCAAGTTTACCAAGAAGTAAATGTATTAGACTTAATTAACTGTTGTGGGCAAAAATGGGAAAGGACCTTTTAGACCAAAAACCTTTTTTAAAAAACTAATAAAATAAGACATTCCTTCTGTATTCATTAAAGAACACAAAACATATGGTTAAATAAAACAGATTTCAAATATGTAACATATTTAATAAAGAAAAATATTTATAAATTGTCAACCTGATCATCGGAAGCACCAGAAGCATTCATGATGGACTCGTGTTGGGCTGTGTCATCTTCATCATCGTCCTCATCGTCTTCATCTACTTCCATTTCAAACAACCTAACGCGCCTTCTGTTCTCTGACAAGAGGAGTGCAACTTTACGAGATCCAGAGACCGCCAATGAGAGAGTGGGCACCCTCGAGTCGCCTGTACCCACTAGCATCCACCAGTGAGCATGCATCTCGGGTAGTCACACCAGCCTCTGCCAGGCGCCGTCCTCCATATACAGCCAAGGGCCTTAACTCTCCACATGCTGCTTGCATCCATAACTGAATGAAGAATGAAGCTTTAGAATCAGATGGGTCTTGTGCCAACACAGATAGTGTATCTTCAGAATAGAACTGTGCCCCAATTAACTGCAATAAAGGGGATGGTGGGCCAATTTGCTCTAATGAACACCCTCGTGTTCCCTCTAGTCTTGAAAATACAAATGGAGCTGCCTCCACGTGATGAGCTGGACCTGGCGGTGCACTGGCCTGTGCAAGACGTTCAGCACTTGTTGGCCACCGTGCTAGATAGAGAACAGACTGCTTAAGGCCAGGAAGAAGCACAGTATACATGGCATTGTCACGAGGGCAGCTTATCTGGCTCACACTTACTGGCCCACTTGATGCTATGGCCATAAATGGGACCCAAGCAACAATGTTTACAGCCTCACTTATAACCTTTGCTGTGTGTCCAGCCATATTATCCAAAACAGACTCAAGGTTTTTGTGCTCTTGCAAAAGAGAACGCTCAGGATAGTGTGGAAAGATGAGAGAATGCTCAGCAACTGCAGGATGTTCGGCAAGAAATATAGACCAGGGATTACGGTCTGATTCGGGTGGACAAGAGAGCGGTGCATCTTTCAGGAACTGGCCAACGCGCTCCAAGCGGAATCGTGTGCGTTTCTCACCATCAGGACCTGTTTCTGTTTCTTCAAGGCCATCATGTAAAAACTCTGTTATATAGGTAAGATCTTGCTGGGTCATGCGGCTCATCTCATCTGGTACAGCCTCACCCCGAACACGCTGCACAACTACATACAGCCAACGAAGAAAGGCTTTAAAAGTGCTCATTGCACCATCTATCACTTGTTGGAGCTCCACAGCTTTAAGTACAAATGCTCCAGCTTCCCTGACAGCATTTGTAACCACATCTTCCTCAACACCCAACATTCCAAATCGATCATGATGTCTCGCTAGACCAACTAGAGCACTTAGCTGGTACACAAGTGCTTGTCCTACTGCTTGCACATTGCGCAGAACCAACTTCTGAATGTTAGAATAACTAAGTTCTATTGAATGACCCAATTTCTTTAAACCTTTTTCAGTGAGTTGATTTGAGAGAAACATGTCAAATTCTGATGAAGATAAACCAAATACTAAAAGATCCAGAAAGTCAGCAGATACACCACCTTCAGGAACAGTTCTAGCATATGTGGCTAACTTCAGATCCAATTCAAGTAAAATGCTTTCCCAAGCTTCAGCTAAAAGTGTGAGTGTGTGAGAGGCATAGGTCATGAGTCCACAAATCTGACCATAGCGATAAGCAAGAGCACGGAGCTCTTGATGACGGCAAGCCAGAATCAAGGTTTCTATCGTTACATGCACAACCTCCCTTTCTCCTCCGAGATCTCGTTCCACCAAACAACTAAGCAGATGGAGATCATGGGAGGGTGTAGCATCTAGAACCTGTCCTGCCCTTGGCACAGAGTCTGCCAGATTGACTGTAGCACAATGAAAGAGCCCAAAGGCATAGATGTAGACAGATGCTGCAGATGTAGCAACAGTTAGAAGGGTTAATGATGTTTGATCCCGTAGTAGACAACCTTCGTGCCACCCTTCCTCACGATCCTCACCACTGCTTCCTGTGTATGTCTTGGAGAGGGAAGGAAGTGGTGGCAGAAACATCTCTGATGAGTCCTGAAACACACACAAAAAGGTAACACTGTCCATAAAACTAATAAATGGATAATTTCACTATCTGTGTAATGTGATCACTGAACTACATGTTATTTTCACTGGTAGACTAAGAAGACAAGGGCTACTAGCATCTATGGCACTTCCATATGTATAAAGGATCTCAAATTTAGAACATGTAAAGTCTATGGAAAAATACAGTAATATATCTTAGGTTACCCAAAAGTTCAACCCTTTAACCCTTTCAGAGTCCGTGCCGTAGATCTATAGCTGTACATTGAGGGTCCAAACCATAGATCTACGTCATGAGCTCAGCTCACTCTGATAACCTGAGAGCGGTAAATTTTGGCCTAGATATGAGAGAATACATCTATGTGGTATGTGTGCACCACATAAAACAAATCCTGCAGCACACAGTGCATAATGAGAGAAAAAAACTGAGACCGTAATTTTCGATTAAAACAGCAACTTTGCAGTGTTTTTTCATATTTTTTTTATAGCTGTTTTTGCGATTTCTTGGTCTCATTTGATAGAATGGAAGATATATTACAGAAATAGAGATGATTTTGATTGGTTTAAGTAATGGAAATGGCTTGAAACTGAGCTCAAAGTAGCAGAAATGTTAAATTTTTGCCAATATTCAAGAGTAAACAAATGACCTTACATATCTAATACACGCCTGCTGGTGGGTCTAATCTGTTCACAAATGTGGTGATATTATTTATACAATTATTACAATATTGCATAACAGTAAATCTTCTATTTTTTGGTTTGAATAAAAATTCATTGTGAATAAAAAAATCAAAATGGAATTCATTAGTAAAGCCTGAAAACATAACTAATGAACATAAGAAATGTTAGTTTAGCGCCAGGAATGCCTGTATTGTTTATTCTGGACCCTAATTTGAAATTGGAGTATTTTGAACTTTGCATTAAATTGGCCAAATTACCAATTTCCGATCACTTTATTTTGTAGTTGAAATAGTTGACTTGGCGAATTCTTGTGCTCAATCGATAGAATAGAAGTAATACTAGTGAAACAGCTAAGAATTTTGTCGACTGGAATAATGTAATTGGCCTAAAATGGGAGTCAAAGTCGGCAAAATCGCCGATGCGTAAATATCGCTGACACATCAAAATTCGCAAGCATAATTTCGTCAATTTTTCATCAAATTTCGTACTTTTTGTTTTATTACCTTCAGAAAAAGATTCTCTACTATTTCATAAGAAAAAATAACAAAATTAATTTTTGAAAATTCTTGGACACTGGTGCACACTTTGAAATTTGGCCTCTGGACCCTGAAAAGGTTAAAAGTAGTTAAAAAAAAAAAAATACAAGAAAGATAAACCCTCAACATAATGGACTTTTGAAATAACGGATAAAATCTATTGGGTAAATTATTCTTTTCACTCCTTTATTGTCAATGTTTATTACAATATACCTGTAACTTGTGTGTCCACAATATAAAGTAAACACTAAAATACTACTTAAATGCTTTTTTTTCTGCTATTTTTTCTAGTTTAACAGATGCTCAGCCTGCTCTTCCCTCATTAGTGTATTATACCAAGAATGTACTGTAACATTACTGCAATGGTATCAGAAATCTTGAGACTCTTTCCACATTTTGCATTACTTACATAAACTAACTACTGTACGACTATAATCTATGAAATTACTGTATTTAATTCTATAATATCCAAAGGTGGGAGACGGCCGACTTGTTGAAAAAAAAAAAAATAATAAACATTGCAGTTCTGAGGGCCATCCAAGTTATGTCGTCGGTACACTGGTGGCAAAATGGCAGCTGAATGAATGACAGTGGATGTTTTCTCTCTTTCTTTTTTTTTTTTTTTTGGTCACCCTACCTCAATGAGATATAGCCAGTGTGTTTACAAAAACAGCTATTTACCCACCGGGCTTAATAAAAACCAATGCAAATATGTAATAGTTTTGTACTACTGCTCACAGGGTGAGCATAAGGTACAATACATATTAACCTAGCAGATGTATGTGGCAATAATTAAATTTCTTTTTTTTTTTTTCAACATTTTAAGACGATCTCAAAATTTCAGTGCCATCTAAAATAGTATTATAAAAATGTGGCATCATTTGTAGTGAATAATTTAACACATAAGTTTGCACTTGCCAGCAGAGGCCAATTTGAATGAAAATTACCTGGGCCTCAAGACAGTCACCTAACCATCATTATAAAAAATATACAGTACCAGTAATTTTCTCCTTTTAGGTACTTTTATTATTAGTGAGAGAATGTTGACCTTAAACGTTAATATGTACAGTAGACCCCGGGTTTTTGTAATTAATCCATTCCAGAAGGTTGGCCTAAATCCAAAATGGCCGAAAACCGAAGTAATATTTCCCATAAGAAATAATGTAAATCCAATTAATTCGTTTCAGACACCCAAAAAT